CGATGCAAGAGAAATGAAATTCGCGAAGTCTGGTTTCTAGACATCTTAATGCACCCTCCACTGGGACATTGGGTGAATAATGATTTTACATCAAAAGAAACCATGAGTAAATTACGAGGAGAAATGCTTTTAACCTTTTTTACAAACTCTATTGAATTTTTTATGGTGTAAATGTTATTGTCTAATAGATTAGAAAATCTAGAAACTAAATATTTAGCTAATGGATACGAGGCAGTACCTAAATTTGATACAATAGGGCGGAAAGGAATACCACTTTTATGAATTTTGGGAAGAGCATATAATCTGGCACAATTCGCAACAGATGGGATAAGCGAATGTTTTAAGTTGCTTGATTGAAATGATTTGCGAAGATTTGATCGCAGTTTTTTATTTTGGATAAGTCCGAAGGTGAAGGATCTTTAGGAATCGGATTATATGGTCCTTCGTTTAAGAGTTTAGTGACACCATCGATGTAAGTGTTCTTATCCATGACGACTATCTGGCCACCTTTGTCGGCCTTTGAAATGACAATATCCGGGTTAGAATGAATCTCGGCATTGTAGCTCTTTCTCTCGCAGTTAGATTTGGTTTCAAAGGTTTATTATTGAATTTCACATTATGAGCGATAAGATGCCTAATCATTTCTTTCTGTGAATCTGAAACTTTACTGAACTTGAAAGCTTTTTCGATAGGAGCCAAAATCTTTGGAATCGAGGGTTTACAGGTTTGTGAGAAGTTAAAATTATATTTTAGAATTCTCTCTTGTTCTTCTGAAAGACTAACATTAGAAATATTAACTATTGGCTTGATGTTTACAATGGGAAGATTTTTTGAACTACTTGAACTGAAGACTGTAAAAGAAGTTTTTCGAATTTAATTGCAAGGGTGTTTTTATGACGGTTAACTAACTGCATTCTCCGTTCTAGACCAAGACTTTTGTTCAAGGGCAGTGAATTTTGGATATGTTTTAGCGAGTTCCAGATGAAGCTTATAGAGTTCATGTTCAATTTTGGACAATTGTTGACGTGTATCCCTTATCACGGACCGAAGTAAGGCAAGTTTGCAATTTAACAGAATTCTTGAAACGCGACTGGAATGTTTTTGATTAGATTTGATTTGAATAAAATTGGGGATCAATTTTTTACATTTACATTTAAGTAAAAAGTCAAGATGATTCAGGAATTTTTGCCGTTTCAGGCGTAATTTAGTGAAACGATTAACGGATGAAGGCATGATAAACAATGCAGAAAATCAAACTAAATTAACTGAGCAATAATAAAGCACACACAAAATAGCAGAAAAATCCCTCACTGAAATGAATAGAAAACAAAATGTTTGTAAGCAAATGCATGAAATCAGACAAGCAAAGCACAATGTCCAAATGTACAAAACATAAACATAACTTGAAAATTGCAAAAATGTACTCACCGAAACTCCTACAATCACAAAATGGCGGCCACACCACGTGCAAAAAAGAAAGCAAAATGTAAGCCTGTTTGGGGCTTCTATAATTAAGACACAATAACACGCCGAATAAATACTAATTCAGAAGTCAAATAACAAAAATCAGCGTTAATTTACAAAATTTTCACAGGACTAGTTTCGATGGTTTTACCGAACCATCATCTTCAGCTGCAAAACCGCAAATGAACAAGATAGGAAATAATGTTTAGATAAGATAAGAACAGCCTGGACAAGAATGTTAAGCAAGTGGCGCCATCTGTTGGCGAAACCAGAACTAAAACATAATTTCTCTAAAAGCCGAAGGCAAATTTGGATTCGAATTAGGATCGTTAACTAGAACAGAAAGATTTTTATGAATGTGAAATGCCTCTAGAAAATCCAGTTCTCCAATGGAAAGATGTTTTTTTTTAATAATTTTGGTAGCAGAAAAATTGAAAGTGTGATTTTCGGACCAACAATGTTGAGCAACAGAAGACTTCTGTGTTTCCTTTTTTCCTAACATATGCCTCATGTTCTTTGACGCGAAATTTTAAGGCTCTCTTAGTTTGACCAATGTAAATTAAACCGCACTGGCAAGGAATCCTATAAATACACCAGGAATTCATATCCGGAATGGGGTCCTTGAGTATAGAAGTTGGAATTTTATTGATGGGAGAGTAAACAACCCGAAAGTTAAATTTCTGCAAAATATGTGCAACTTTATAGCTAATTGATGGAAAGAAGGGAATGACAACAGAATTTTTATAATCTCCTAAAATAAGAGTGTGGCTTTTAGTGTGTTGAGATGAGAATTTTTTAACTGCTTGATTAATAATGTTGGGTGAAAAGCCCCTGTCAATAGCTATTGCTCCTCCAAACTATGTGCTCTTCAAGTTTGCTCCTCCAAACTAGCCCTTGATGAAGAACTAAATTATTTAAAAGCAATAGCTATTGACAGGGGCTTTTCACCCAACATTATTAATCAAGCAGTTAAAAAATTCTCATCTCAACACACTAAAAGCCACACTCTTATTTTAGGAGATTATAAAAATTCTGTTGTCATTCCCTTCTTTCTATCAATTAGCTATAAAGTTGCACATATTTTGCAGAAATTTATCTTTCGGGTTGTTTACTCTCCCATCAATAAAATTCCAACTTTATACTCAAGGACCCCATTCCGGATATGAATTCCTGGGGTATTTATAGGATTCCTTGCCAGTGCGGTTTAATTTACATTAGCCAAACTAAGAGAGCCTTAAAATTTCGCGTCAAAGAACATGAGGCATATGTTAGAAAAAAGGAAACACAGAAGTCTTCTGTTGCTCAACATTGTTGGTCCGAAAATCACACTTTCAATTTTTCTGCTACCAAAATTATTCAAAAAACATCTTCCATTGGAGAACTGGATTTTCTAGAGGCATTTCACATTCATAAAAATCTTTCTGTTCTACTTAACGATCCTAATTCCAATCCAAATTTGCCTTCGGCTTTTAGAGAAATTATGTTTTAGTTCTGGTTTCGCCAACAGATGGCGCCACTTGCTTATTCTTGTCCAGGCTTTCTTATCTTATCTAAACATTATTTCCTATCTTGTTCATTTGCGGTTTTGCAGCTGAAGATGATGGTTCTGTAAAACCATCGAAACTAGTCCTGTGAAAATTTTGTAAATTAACGCTGATTTTTGTTGTTTGACTTCTGAATTAGTATTTATTCGGCGTGTTATTGTGTCTTAATATTTCTTTATATTATCTTTTAGCTATGACTCAGTATACATCTATCAAAATGTGTAAGAAAGGCTTAAATCATCAAACTTTTACTCATCGTACTTCATTTAAATTTAGTTCTTCATTCCAAAATATACTGCTCAAAACTGTTAGGGCATATTGTGAGTTCGGTATAAAATATACATATAATCGACATCTTTTTTTTAATAAAATTGAAATAGAAGAGGTTAAAAAAGAAAATTATAACGGTTGGAAAATTAGGAAAATACAAATTTTGTCTGTAACATCGAAAATTACGCCTTTTGAATAGTGAGTGGAAAGCGACCAGCAACATTCTTTCTGTAGGAGGAGATTAAATAAACTGACACACGTTTAAAATTTTGTAACAGTGAACGCGATGTTTCATTAAGATGACTTAGATAAATCGGTATCCTGAAAGGCCATGATCGTATTGAGGCAGGTGAAACGCAGTCCGTTGTAGCGGAAGCAGCAGGATTTCTCAAAGTGTCATGTCCAGACTATGGAATCGGTTTTTGGAAACTGGAAATGTTCGCTGAAGATCGGAATAAGATGGTATGTCTGCAACAATACAAAATGTGAATCGGTATTCTACACTAACGGCCAGAAGAAACCGCACTATTGAAGGCAACTTTCATTCAACAGCGCGTTCAGAGGGCTACAGGTGCTAGAGTTTCGACTCAAACTGTTCGAAAGTGACTCCACCATATGGGTGTGTATGCTCGCAGACCTATGGTTTGTGTTTCGTTGACACAGGACCACCGTACTGACCGCAAAAGGTGAGTACAGGAACATCTCAGATGGAGAGAGATGAGTGAAGCAACGTACTCTTCACAGACGAATCCTGCTTTGGTGTACATCCTGATAACTCGCGGATTCTCATCTAAAGAGAACCTGGTATACGGAAGACTCCTACATTTGTGAATGAAAGTTTCTGATTTGTCGGAGGCAGATTGGTGGTCTGAGACGGTATATCAATGGCCGCAACGACTTACGCGTTATCAGGAATGGAGCACTAACGGCTCAGCGATATAGGCATGAGGTCCTCGTATTTATTGTGGTCCTTTATGCTGCAGCAAGCGAATATGAATTCTTTCATATGGATGATAATGCCAGATCATATCGTGCTCAGATAATGGACAATTCCCATTCCGGTGAAGGAATCCTTCGATTAGCTTAGCCAGTATGTTCCTCATATGAACACAACAGAACATGCCTGGAACATTCTAGGAAGGACGCCGCTGTCGCTTATCACCTCCACAAACAATTCAGCAGTTTGAAAGCTCTTTTCTAGAGGAGTAGAAGAAGGTACTCCATTCTCTCATTGATAACCTCAATGATTCCATGCCGTTTAAGCGTGCGACATTGATTTTGGGTCAGAAGAAATTACCTCTTATTGAAACACATTTGTATGTGAGAAATAATATTTTTTATTTATTTCTATAATATGCATATGAATCTTGCATGTTTTGCTTACCAACAAATATCATCAATGAAATTTAATTATTTCTTGTTCGTGTCTTTTCTTTCTTTTATCATATCTTACAGCATCTATACATCATATATGAGTCACCAAAACATTTTCTCATCCGCAGTGTAATCCAGAATCATAATATCCCCTAACTGTTTTGAGCAGTGTATTTAAAAGTATCAATGTTTTCTTATACCTACTTTTTAATTTAATTTAAATTATGACATTATGGAACGTACTGTACTTTGTTTTAACATTCTTTATATATGCCTTACCATAAATTATAGCATAGATAATTTTCAGAGATGGTTTAAAAACTTATACATCACTATTATGATTTTCAGGGGATAACAGAATTATATTAGCTACAGAAGATGGTGTTTTTCTAGTCGAAGGTACGTCTTTTTATCTGCTAAAAATTTATTCTTCAACATTTAAAATTTTCCTTATTTAGTAAGGATACCATTTGCCTTAAATACTGTAAAATGCAGTTAATAAACTACCAAATTTGGTTGACAATATACCTCGCTGTTTTTGTTTCTTTCTGTTATTTGCTTTTTGCTTTGATTAACTTCACTGCTTTAATAGACTGTTTAAATATTGCTAGACGGATAACGTTTTATTGTATTTCTCCTTTTAGAGGGCGTTAGTCACAGGTTAATATTTGACAAATCCTTGCAAGCGAAGCAATTAAGTGTAGTTGAAGCGCACGGTATCTTACTTTTACGAGCTGATAAAGGTAATGTGTATTTAAATTTTCTAAAATTATATTTTAAAGTTTCGAAGTAATTTTTGATATTATGCTATAAATAAAGTTCAAAGACATATTTTCAGGCATTCATCTATTTCATAAATATTTTTTAATAGTACGCAATTACATTTCCTACTTAGCTTTAATTTATTGCTTTATTTAACAGTATTTATTGTTCTGTGAGCGGTACCTGTTTAGTGTGAAATTAAAACTTTAATATGCAACAATAATTATTTAAGGTTACATTTAAAAAATGTATTGAATATGAAGACAAACATATCTTAACAAAATATTCTTTGGGACAGCAAGGTATAATTATAAATGTCAGTCTGTCATTCTATTTTCTTTTCATAAAATTAAAGCTTTTAAAACTTTTCGTGAAACAATAGAGAATATAATCAAAAAATTGTTTGAACACGTAGCTGAAGGTAAAATGCTTTTTCGTACAGGAAAATTTGCTTCTGTTATTGTTGCTTATCCTTCTGATCTTCGACTGATCAATAAATAGATCAGAATCTAGATCGGGTCTACGAATTCATCACAGTCAAGAGGAAGAGTGGGCGTTGTTGGCCAAGACTTAGATACTCTATAGGTGACAGTACGATTTTTGCTCATCTCCGTTTCCTTCTGGATGATAGAAGCAAACGTTTTCTACTTCTCTTCCCTTATCACTTTATCTTGAAGAGACTTTCAGTTCGACAAGTTTTGAATGCTTTTACTATCGCAAAGACACTGTGCGTTTGTAAATATAGGTGCTGTCTTCGGAATTCTAACTCTGTGGTACAATGATATGCGAACTAGCTTAGCTAATCAGCAATGATAATCAACAATATATCAACCAGCTTATATATGATAATTATAATCAATAATGATAATGAATGAACAGTGTTAAATCAACAATGAACCGATGAAAATCAACAATACATCAACCAGCTTATGTGTGATAATGATAATCAACAATGTCAATGATAATCAAAAATATGTCAGCCAGGTTATATATGATAATGGTAATTAACAATAGTAATGAATCAAAAATGGTATGACATAATAGTAATCAACTATGATGCATCAACCAGCTTAGTTAATTAACATGCCGACCAGGGCAATTAAAAGTATCTGATTTTAATAGGGGCAAAGATTATAATAGCATTTAATACCTATCGAATTATAAATTTTTATACAGTCTGCACTACATGCTATTGTAAACGTATACATTATTGGAAAACGTATCCTAAAATTAAAATTAAATAAGTCAGTATACAGTTTGTAGTTCATGAAATAATTAATTAAATTAAGTCAGTAAATTAATTGTGATATTTGTATGTTTTGGTAGGTCGTGATAGCCGGATTCATGTATTTCGTCTATCAGATTTTGAAGGAGAACATAATGAGAGTGTCGTCCGAAGCAAATCAGATGTGCGAGATCACAAAATTGAGCGAACTAAAGGTAAGTACTTCTTTCTAATGCCATCACATTTAATAAAGGCGTTACAAATTTGACTTCTTCTTCTCCCTTCCCTATAGATGTATTTTCTTTTGTTTTAACGTAACGACTAATTACGGAAGCCTGCCTTGATGAATAAAAATGGAATGCCGGCCTTGATGGATAAAAATAGAATGCCTATCTTGATGGAATATAATTGAAGCTTAAGAGTCGCGACTTAATTATAGCTGCAGCTTATAATTATATATAGTTTGTTCTTACAATTAATATAGTCGTTGGGAACTACAACTTAACTTGCCATTAATGGTCCGTATCAGATACTGTTACCTAACTGTCAAGGCCTACTGACTAGTCTTCATTAAACAAATTTACTGATTAATCCGTCCTTTACTGTAATCAGCAAGTCTTTTAATAAGATCTAAACGTGACAGAATGGTTGATTTTTCAGATAGAATGAAGTTTACAAACAAGTTAATTTTTGATTCAAACCAAATTAACAATCCATTTAATCACTTTATCTTTTTTAGAATATTCTAAAATTATGGAGACACACAAAATACATGATGGTCCGAATACATTAGTTCGATCTATTTAAACGCTATGAGCTATGATGTTAATGAAATCAGCAAGTTTTAAAGAATAGATTTTGAAATGGATAATAAAATGAAAAATAATTTCCATCTTCGTATTGATAATTGCACCGGATAACGTAAATGTCTTCCTGAGGCATTCTCATATTATTTTTCTTCAAAAACCACCACGTCTGTAACTCACCATGTGATCAAAGTATCGTCTAAATGATAAATTCTTTTGCAGCATGGAAGATCTGGGTGTAACTAAAATGAATTAGCGACGAAAACTGTCCTCTTGATATGCTGCATCCGCTGAATATGTCCAGCCCATGTCTCATAGAAGACAACAGAGGCATGATTTAAGCATACTAATTTTTTTAATAAAAACTAAGTGAACAGAAAGAAAAATGTACGGTTTTTCCAACTAATGTGAATTGTTAGGAACTGATGCTTGGATCAATATTGATGAAATAGTTCAGATGCAGCTTAAATTCCAGAACATATGTGGGAAGACATTTACCAGTCCCTTTCTCAGCCATGTCTTGACACATTATATGAAAAACGTTTACCATAATAATAATAATAATTATTAAAACTCCTTTCTAGAACTGAGATGATACCGCCGCTTCACATATTAAGGTTAGGTGTCCGATATTGTTATATAATTTCGAAAAAGTCTATGAAAATGAGTAGATAATAATGCAAATATCTTTAAATAAAAGTTTGTGTAACAAGTCAACCTATAAAGCATGTTAAAACTTTATTCGTAATTAATATCACGCAGAATTGTTTAGGTTTTTGGTATATTTTCACTTAGCTAGTTAAAATGCATTCAAACTTTTGAGGAATAAATTTTACTCTTGAAGATTTTTGAAAATGTTTTAGGTTATCGTTAATGTTATTAAAATGGTCGGGACAACGTGATTATATTAAGCGATATTACTATATCATCACAAAATATAACATCTACTTAAAATTAATACTTACTTTATGAGTAATAATCATTAGGTGGCCAGGTACATAATGCGTGATATTAGAACCCGTTCTATTAAGTTATGGAGTAAGTATATTTTGAAATAGTAATCGATTTTAAAACTATCATTTACATAATACTCCTATAAAAGTAAGTAAATATTTTACTATTGATATTTATTAAAATTTTTAAAAGGGCATTGTTTTCAGAAAAATTGTTTTTTTACGTTGCTAGAAAATGTATTGCTGTCTTTAAAAAGATTTCAGAAAATAGGAAATGAATATAACAATGCTTCAAAATCGTTCAGTTTAAAAAATATACCTGTAAATGAGTGTAGTTAATTTTCAGTGTGAAATAAATTTTATTGAAAGATTTGAAGATATCATTTTGATTAACTTTTGTTAGAGCACTTTTAAAAACATATATACGTCAGTTACGAATTCAGTTACTATTTTTATGTATTTTTGACTTTTTAAGCTGGTTTAAATGGTGTACAAAGATGTTACATACTATTTTTAAGTTGTTGCTTATTGATATATTTGTACAGTATACATATTAGCTTGTAATACTTAGCAATGTATACTTTTAAACATTAAAAATATTCTTGTATAATTAAACCTAATCTTCTTTGTTTACTTCGTGAATCATTGCTTAGTTCTTTCAGACTGAAGTAATGTAGCGATGTTATGCTGTTTCGTCTCACAAGGTATTTTGTTGAAATAATATGAAGGTATAACTCGGTCAGTTACTTTCTACTGGCTTTTCGAAGCTACACTGTTTTTTTTTATTTTGTTCGTGAGTGGATGGGTGTTTTTTTAGAGACAAAGTGTTATTAATTTGTTAGTTACGTAGCATCTTTCATACCTTTTACTTTGTTTTATGAAAAAAAAATAATAATATTTTCAATCATTTACTATTTGTTTGAATAAGATAGTACAAAAAAAGAAAATATACTTTATTTGCATTTTATTTAGTAGTATTTCACGTAGAGATAAAAAGGTCTAATTATTCGGCTTTTCTTCCCCCCCTCCCCAAATCTTCATATCTTAGCAGTGCAAGACTTAATGTTCTGAATCTTCATATCATTGCACTTCCAGTTAACTGACATTCTGTGCTAGCGGCAAAAAACACTAGGGCCTTGATTGCTCGCTATCGGAAAATTCTACTATACAGTCCTGAAATTAATAACAATTTTATTGCAATATGAATAGGATAGATTCCAACGATCAAGCCGTCTGAAAAGGACTTCGATACCATTCAAAAATTATAAACAGTCTCGTCTACTTAAAAACGCAAAAATTATACGTAGCTGGCAGCAGTGCTTGCAGTTCAGCGATCAAGTACCTCTTCATATGGAGAAAGAAGATCCTGTATTCAAACCGTACCAAAATATTTTTCGAAATATTTTATAACAAGAGTTTATTTGAAAAGTAACTATCTCTATTTGCGTTCTTTAATTTAAATGAAAGAATTATAAAATTCAATAGAGTAAAATTATTTACTACTGCAGTTAAAGCCATTATTCATCTGTTAATAAATATTTCTAAATGAATCTATTTTTGGCGGAATGCAATTTCTTAGTTTACATTTTCATTATAAAAATGTAAAGGTTTTTATCACATTAATAGCGCATTAACATATCATTAACTGGAAGTGCCTAGAAGAATTGAACTCTCCTCAAATGAATGACAGGAAACTTTGTAGTAGCAGCATTTAAACTTAATAATTCTCTTAGCATAAAGTCTTCTGATTTTTGAAATAGATTTTTTTTTTCTTTCTAAATTTGAATTTAGAAAGTAGTTAGTTACTGTTCTGGGTTTTCCTCTGTCTATGCAGTGGAAATTTAAAATAGCACTTATTAGCATTAATATTTATATGATACAGACTTGATTATTTCTTCTAATACTTTTTTACCAAATGAAAATGTTGTTTCATTTTTAAAGAATTTACTTTGTAATTAAAATTAGTCACAAAATACACTACTTTGGAAACATTTCTAATGAATTATATTACTTATTCTTGAGGATATAGTGTTTTTTCCGAAATAATAATTTTCTGAAATTATTAAATGACTTATTTTACAGCTCTTGTTCTTGAAAATGTTTTTATCAGTACCAAAGCTCTTTATTTTCATTTTTTATAGTGCAACATGCCCCAGAGTATTGATTTCGTAAGTTTAAAAAAAATTTTAAACCACTAGAGTGAACTGCACAGCATCATTTTTAAAGTTTCCCCCTTCTTGAATTAATTCTTGTTAGTTTTTTTTTTTTCCTTGAAAAGTACAATATTTATTTTTCATTAACTTATTCCAGGCTACGATTTTATAAAATGTTTATTTTCGAGTTTTCTAATATTTTTTAGCTTGAAGATCTTGCGAAGTGTCCTAGGGGCTTTAATTAGTATTTTCTAATTCTATGACTTTAGGTTTTGCTTCCTTATCATATTATAATTTATTTTTGTAATTGGGTTCTTCTCATTAATTATTTTATTCACTTTTTCATGTGAAATCAATCTCCAAGTTTTGCTTCTCTCCCCTTCCTCTCTGCCTTCTAAGTATCTTAATTTCTAATCACAAATTTCCTTATTATGGGCCAACTGATCCTCAGATCCCATCTTTATGATTTCACAGATACCATTGAGATTTACAATTAGCTAAAAACACAACGAAAATATCTGTTTACTTTGCTTGTTGAGATTTGCTTGGAAATCTTGTGGCAAAAATGGGGCTTTTCAAAATATAATTTGATTTTATGTGATTGCGACACAGATCTGGGGAAACAGTCTGATTCATCAAACAGCCCTTGTTCAACGCTAATCACTGTGTATATCTGCTTGGAGCGTAAAATATTAAAAAAAAAGATACCATTACCAATTTTATATATATGTAAACAATTTTAGTGAAATTGTATGTGAATTGCAATATCTCTTGCATAATGTAACATGAAAGGCTTCGAGAATCAAAGAAAAACAAGTCTTAAGGGTAAGTCCATTTAAGATTGAGGTAAATGCCGAGCATGGAGGTAAGTGCTATTTCGTCAGTCCCGAGATAGCGATAAGCTGCCGATGGTTTTAGCGACCAGTTTTCGTCACCAAATTTGGCGAGAAATCCCCAAAATTCGCCAAATTTGGTGACATTTTGGCCCAATCTGTATGTAACTCTAACTGGTCCGATTCGAATATAACTGTAGCTGTGTGTAGTTTGGGGAAATGTTATATAAAACCCGAGAGGGCTTCAGTTTTCAGTTTAGCTCGGCTGATGAGAGCTGTGTTCAGAGTTTAGCTCAGAGTATTGAGAAATCACTGTGTAAGCTTACGCATTTGAGGCTTTTTATATTGTCTTGTGTTTAACGTTCTCTTGTGTCTAACGTTAATTTGAAGTGGTAACTACTAATTCTATTCTGTCATCCTTAGAAGAACTGCACGAGTACTTTTGTGTGAAGAGTTTCAGAACTGCAAACTGTTTCCGAAGAAATAAATTTCATCAAGCTATCATCGGTTCTGTGTGCATTCAATCCAGTACAAACCCGCACGCAAATAAATATATTTTAAGATAAAAGATACATAAAAATGAATGTATATTTTTGCAATTGCTTGCTTATTCAAAATTCATTTTTTCTTATCTGATGACAGGTTGCCATTTGTATGCTCTCAGTCGCCCAGGAGGTAGTCATCTGAGAATGGTGGTAGCAGTTGGTAAAAAACTCATTATCCTACAATGGCGACATTCAGCGGCTTGGACGACATGGTGCGCTGCTTCCGATACTGATACAGTTGATGGCTTTCAGTTTACAAGGGTAAGACCTATAACTATGCAGATTATTTTTTTCTTAATTTAAATGATTTAGGAAAGGTATAACAATTTCTGACCCATGCTTTCCAGGAGATATCTCTATCTGAAACTCCACAGCTCATTACACTGGTTGACAGTCCTGTATCTGGTTTTGATAACCAGATTTGCGTTGGATACAGGCACCAGTTTGATTTGGTCAATGAGAAAACGGGAGAAACACAACGTCTGCACGTTGTAGAAGGAAATAAGGTATATATTTAAACATATATTATTGACGCAAATTGTTTGTTTCATATCGGGATGATTAAGTGCAGTGCATTAATTAACGCACGGTAATAAAATAGTGTTTCGTCACTTACATTCGTCCAAAATAGATGAATACATAGTACTTATATATATGTGCTATAAAACTATATCTAGCTAACGGAAACTTAAGCCGAAATAAGGAACAGTAAAATGATAAAATAATAAAGCGAAGGAGAAGTTAAAGTGAAAACAGAATGTAGCAGATGTGAACTTCCATTGAAATAAAACTTCACAAATTCGGAAAAATTGAATATTGCGAATAAAAGGTATTTTTTAAAAAAAAATGGGGTAAATAAGATAAATGCAGGAATGAAGCCTTTCTGGTACTTGCATTTTAATGAACAAAGAGATATATTTTGTTATTAAAATCTGTATGTTTTAAAACTTGTTAAATAATTTGACCTCGAGGAAGCTAACAAAATACTTATTTTAGAAATGCTGTCGACAACTTTGTGGTAAGAACGTAAATTGATGAGTTGCATTTAAAAATAGATTTGTATTTGTGTGTTGTATTCGTTATTTTTTATTCTTATGTGAAAATATTTGTTTACTTTTCAAAGTATTCAAAGTATTTCAAAGTATTTTTTTTTTTCAGTTCGAAATATTAAGTAATGATTAGAAAATAAAGAAAGAATCATTTTAAACAAATAAAAATTTTTAGAAACCACGTGAAAATTAAATTTATCATAGAGATAACATTAATGTTCGTGAATTTTAATTGAATATATTTGTAAAATTTTACAACATGCTTCTTAAATGCAAACTGTTATCTTGGTATTACTTATTTAAAAATAATAAGATTAGTTTATTCGAGTAGCATATGATGAATAATTACACCGAAGAACAGAAATGTTTCAATTTTAGTGATACATAAATTCATCCCTGTAAAATGTTCTTAAATTCCAATCATTCACAAATTAAAATAATGATACAAATATAAAAATATTCCTGAATTACGTGGAACTTTATAAAAGTAATTCTAGGCTTCGGTCTTCAAATTAAAATTTCTGACTAGATAATATCAATAATAATTATCAATAATAATAGATAATATCAATAATCAGTAATAATTACAGAGAAAGCACAGCTAAAAGATTTGTTGGGTCGATATCATTCATGTCGTATTATTTGTGTGGTTACACAATACATTGGTTCTAATTAAATTTACTGCTCATTATGCATTTTCTTACTTCATAAAGAAGAAGTTTTAAAAATATACTATCTCGTAATATAGCTCACTCTCATCTATCTTTTAAACATGATTTAAAAATTGAAGCTGTCCACTGCTTATTACGCAAAAAAAATAATTTATGTTCTTTTAACAGCCGAAATCATGAACTTATTTCCTTGTAAAATATAATTTGAATGAACAATATATGTAATATCAGCAATTTAATCTGAATGACAAATAATGAAAATACATGTAAATAAATGCATACCCTTAAGAAATTTACTAACATACAGAATTCATGCAGGTACATAGCGATATGATGAACACTTCGAACATCAGTGTATTCTTGTTATAACCACTGAGTGTATACACTGTGTAAGTAAACAAAATTCATGAAGTGCATAATATGGATTAAGTATTAATGTAATCACACTGTAACCATTGAATCACACTGTAACCAATGAATGTGTTATCATGCACATGTGAACAAATTCCATGATCTGTTATCTATATATTCTGTATTCAAAAACGTAAAATATCCAGTGATCTGTACACAACTGTAGACAACAAATATTCAGTCTGATCGAGTTTGCTATAGTTAATCTAAATCATTCAGTAACCGTTAAATGTAAATAATGTGCTAAATGCTTCAACAATAGCATCAATCTACATAAGACGAGATAATGTGCGATAGCGTGCATTGTGAGATAATGTGCTACATAAGACGAGACAAATGTTGACACTGCTAGAGGTAGCAGAGCCTGCAATGTTGGATGCACTAGATAACAGTAGCTCCTCGGACCAGAATGGCACTGTGCGCCCCAAGAACGCGTTATTAATCTAGATAGCTAGTGTTAAGGGTCATTTACCCACTTACTCAGCGTAAATAATAAGTGGCCCCTGCACTTAAACCTAACCTAAACTAACCATATTCTAACAGCCATTGTTTAACAAGCAAATAGGTAGACACTAAAACACACCAGAAAAAAGTCACTCATGGTGCTGCGTTGTTGTTGCATTTCTAGCTATATATACTCTGGCTCCTATGCAAAAACAAAAACTAAACCAAAAAAAATTATTATATTTCACTTAAAATGCGCAAGAATCGAGGCTACCGATCTCGAGCTAACGATGGGGTTCTTATCTTTATGGTTAAAATCATTGCTAAAACCCAGATTGTTTATTTATTACTTTAGACTCGGATACGGAACCTTTGTTAATCAAAGCTCGTATAATGGCGGTTCTACTATATTTCCATATAAAACTCATGTATTCCAAAATGCACAAATTTCTCCTTTCTTAAAATTCAACATAGATTCTCAAACCGGAACTTTTATTTCAGTCAGCCTTCAAAATGCGATGTTCTTTGTCTCGCAGAGAAACATCTAATCACTTGCTTTCAGTTCTTGGTCAATTTTCTATTGCCAGATTGCATAAGTAAGCTAACGATTACAGCAGAGGAACGCGTTGCACGATAATGTTATTAACGACAAAATAACGTCTGCCTGCAATAATATTTAAAATACGAACGGGAGTTAGCTGTTTTATAACTGATGATACATAAGAGTATGTTTTGTTTTCTTTTATTTTGTTTGCTAAGTGAATAAAAGTACTAGAAAACTGCCTTTTAACCTTCTCCACATACGTATCCTGTACTTTTAGAAATGCTTTCCTCTGCAGATTGTAGAAAGGCTTCCTCTGTAGATTTGTTTTTCGACCTACGGCAAATAATCTCAGATGTTCCGTGGTTAGTAATTTATTTACCGTCAAAAATCAAAAGTTTTATTTCCAGTTTTGCTCAGAAATACTTTCTTTTATTCGCTGCATGAAATAATTATACTGAATTTTGAAATCTGATCGGATTCTATTATTGTTTTGATTGATTTATTAAGTTATTTGAAAACTTTCTAAGCAATTATTAATAATTCTTTTAAGCTGATCAGTTAATCCAGTTCTTTAACAGACTTGAAAAATATTGATTTCTCTCTTAATTTCAACAACACTCTAAAAAATTAAATAATTTTTTATATGACGTCTTTAAAACTTTGAGATATCTTGAATTTCCCTAATATCTATGTGCTTACTTGTTTATATCTAATATCGGTACAAAAGTTATATTAATTACTGCAGCTCTATAAATTAAAAATAGTCATTACTTACTGTGATAAATATAAGATGCGAAACTTGAAGACTCGTTAATTCGGAGCGTAATACGTTTGTTCGAATTTTGAATAATAGAAAATAGAAAGACTACTATATTTCACGTTGTAGCTAGAACACTTATTTTTCCTTTCAGAATTTGCATTATATTATTCAAATTTAAGTAGAAATTTAAGTTTTTGTTATTCAAATTTAAGCTTTTCTTACAGTAATTAGAAAAAGGAAGTAAAATTAAAATATAAAAGAAAGGAAGATCTGTATATCAAATACTTATTTTATTTGTAAATGGAAATTTTCATGTATGAAGTACAATTTATGTGTATTAGATTTATTTTTATTGTTAGTAAGAAAATATGTCAAATAATAAAATTATTAATGAAAGACATTAATTCTTCAATTATTAAAAAAGGCGCTAATTTTGAATATTTCCTTATATTTATTTTATCAGATATCGTAGGTCGAAAACCACGAATCAGCATTTTTTGCAATTTCACTATTTTTAAGACTGTCTATGGACATTTTACACACAAGAGAGGCGCGCATAAAAATGTATTATGTTAAAGTCATAATATCTTCGGGTTAGGAAAAGAGGGAAAATGCAAACACATACCATAACCTTTAGATGTGTATATTTGGAAACAAGCAGCTTGCAAATTCGTACTTTTGAACGCGATATCAAAGCTACGTGTTCATTTACGTTTACATATTTTGGTTGCTTACTAAGCACATTTAAATATTAATTTAAATAAAAACAATGATAATTTATGTTTTCAGGGTCATCTCATAGCAGCAATTGATATATATGAAGACGACGAAGCAGAATTATTGTTGTGCTATAATCGTAAGTATACATATTATTTTACAGGTTTTACTTTCTTTCTTTGTTTGTAATTAAGGCAAAGCACGTTCTAAGGCCCACCAGCGGCCGAGCGGTAAAAGCCGCTGAACACTGGTAGTTCGTTCCGGGGTTCGAGTCCCGGCGAACGGGCTGGCTGCATGGGCGTTTTCGTGGTTTTCCCCATGTGTAACGTGGATACGAGCCAGTTTCCCTTAAAAAGACCTCCACGGGGCATCCCTCCCTTTTCCGTGTAGTGCCTAAGGGCGAAGCACGTAATAATAAAAAAAAAAAAAAAAAAAAAAGCACGTTCTAAGGGAAACAGGCTCGTATACACGTTGTACATAGTTTAAAAACTATGAAAACGCTTATAAAGGCAGTCCATTCGCCGGAACTCGAACCCCGGACCGAGCTACCGGTATTCAGCGACTGTACCGCTGGTGGGCATTTTATTTCATATGATATAAATATTTTAACTGTTCTTCGAGTAAAAGCTTTGGCTTTATTCCAGCTTGATATCCTACATTCTTTTTTCCCACGCTAAGATAACTTCAAGCAGCTTAAGATAAACAATATTTTTGTTTCAAGCATTTCTTGCCCACGAAAAATCTGGATACAGCTGTTATTGGCATTTATAACAGCAATTCGTTAACAGAAATCAATAATCTGTCTTTCTAAATGTTATTTTCTATATTCGAAAAGATGAAGGATTTATAGTTTTGCTAATAATAACAATCACAGCATTAAAATTCAAGCATGAAGTGCGTATAATTAAGATTTGTTTTAAATTATAATTAAGAAAAGTAACTCAGAGACTTTTATTTAAAAAAAAAGCATAAATGTTTCAAATTATTTCTATTCAGCGAATATAAATTTGTAAAATTACTCAGTATGTAAATGCTTGGGAAAAAATTGTTGATCCTGTTGTCATATAAAGCTATACTGCACAAAATGAAACATTTACTAATAGACAAGCGACTATTGTTTTGAAGTTAAAGTATTAAAAATAAAAAAAAAGTTTTCTTAATTCGGAATTATAACAATACTTTAGGAGCAAACATCATTGAACTTCATCGTAATTAAACATGGATATTTTTTTGTTTTCTTTTAACGGATTATATAATTTAGCAAGCACTAATGTTATCATCCATGATTTAAGAAGAAGAAAATTTATTAACGTGTGCTGAAGAGAAATTCGGCATCTCTCACAGTAAACTTATTATCGATATTTCATAGATCTACACTTTTAGAACTATCGACTGGGCATAAGCTTAAATTAAACAGCAGCTAAGCTATGTGGGTGAAAATCATTTTTCAGTATGCCTCCTTGTAAAACTGTTTCTCTTCTTCTAAATTATAATTGTTTTTGCGGATAGTTTAGCTTCCTATTTAATACTCACGTAATAGTGTTGCATTTTTATTATTATTATGAAAAATATCACTTTAGTCAATCTTTGAGAAATGCAGCCCTATTTACTTAATCAGACAATTTTCTTATGAGACCCTAAGCGAATTAGATGTAGAAAACATTATGCTTCCCTTCGAGCGTTACGGGTTAAGCTCTGAAATTTCAAAGTTTCTCAAAATGTCAAGATCTTTTCTTGATTTTAATTAAAAAGCGACTATCTCATTTTGTACTTTGATTTCTTTCCTTCCAATGTACATCCAAACGTAAGTCAGATACATTTAAAAGGTAGCAAAAATTTTCATGTATAATGAATATAGAAGATAGCCTTCTGTACGGAATTTTCCGGCCGTAAAGCTGAGAGGGTTAAAAAATATCGCATTATTCATCAATCACAGCTTTAATATAATATATTAAATTAATAAGACGTTTAAGAAATTATTTAATAAGAAGTTTCATCATCGTTTCTGTAAGTGCTCCCAAACTGCGTCAAATCGTTTTTATAAATCATGAATGTTTGGTAATTACAGTTTATGATGCTTCTTATTTTACACTGATGGTTATTAAAATTACTACACCATGGAAGCGACATACCATAAACGTCAGATTTCCATGAAAGCTACTACATGCTGGGATATGCAAATGATTTACATTCCGGCATAAAAGCACAAAACAAGTATGAGTAACACTATCTACATTACACAGCGAGTTTTTCATTTGAACGTTGGTTTATTTGTGTCTCATGTTATGGCTCGTGTAAGAAGGAAAACCAGCACGTGTCGAAATTTGACCGCGGCTGGATCGTGTCTTGTGTGTACTGAAATTTATTGTCTCAAAACATTGCTGCTCGTGTTGGTAGGAATCCCATAACTATTTTATATCGACGGATAGTCACACTAAATGCCATACAGGATCTCAGCGGGACCGAGCCACCGGAGGTCACGTATCCTGAATCGGGAGCTTAATTCATGTCCATGACGACAAGTAACGTTGCACTGTCCATTCGGAAAATGCGACTTCATCTGCAGAACCGCGAATAGATAGCACTGCGACCGTTGTTGTGGCTTGCCTTAGAACTGCTGCACATGCATTCGCACATATAGTGCTGCGACGAATGACGACACTGGACACAGGAGTGACATCACGTCTTGTTTTAAACGAATCCCGATTTGGCGTACAACATCATGATGGCCTGTATTGAAACACTGAGGTAAACGAACTTCGCTAGCTTGCAATTTGTTATCGTCATACGGGTCTGGCATCTCGCGTCCTGATATGGAGTGACGTTGAGTACACATCCCGGTCACTTCTTGTTCACACAGACGGTAATGTAGACAGCTGCCTTTCTATTTTTGATGTTAAAGCCCGTGGATGTGCCCTCTGAATGAGGCATGTGTCAGGTCATCTTTCAACAAGATCATGCTCGACCGCATATTGCCCATGCCCGCATATTCCTCTACGCAGCGTGTTCAACTATTGCCCTGGCCATCATGGGCATGCTGTGTATCGCCAACTAACTTCAAATTTAATCATGTCTTCCTTTCATTATGCTGTAAGTTCTCCAGATATCTCACGCATTGAGAACGTCCGGTCATAGGCTGCCGGCAGCTTAGTACGCTACCACTCGTCAACCATTATGTTTCTTGGATTAGAGATGGAACTGCATTAAATAGATTACTCGTATGTGTCGTATGTGTCAGCCAAGCTGATTGCGACTCAAAGCTCAACCGATGACAGCTCTGTGTACTTAATTCCGCACGCTTTGTACCCTAAACCACCTTCAGATTTAATCATGTCTTTTTTCCATTATGTTGTATATGTGCAATAAATAAGATTATGCTATTTGCTTTCCTTTCTGATGGAACACTTTTAATGACCTGTAGTGCCCATGCTTCTATTATTTGCGATTAATCATTCAAAGTAAATAGAGCTCTATCATTAACATTTGCTTGAACACTTGCTAAAGTTTACTCCTTTGAGATGCGAACATGTAATGAACAAAATCCACTAATGAACAAATTTTGTGATCTGCTTTGATTAGTTTTGGTCTCTTCCACAAAAATTGAAATGTCTAATGACTTAAATTTAATTAGAACTGATACGAAATGTTAGAAATTAATAGAATTAAAATATTTAATTAAATGTCAGAAATTATTTGATTAATAGATAATTTTTTTGTTTGGACAGAGTTTCTCTCAAATATATATGATACTCTATCTGCGGGCATTAGCGAATTGATCTAAATTTTATAAACCCATAATTTTCATAAGTAATTATCATATGAAAATCATTGTTTATTTTTTATGTTTATCATCTTTTACATATTTTTAGCTCTGTTGTGCAGAAGACTTTAACATTTCCGTACTTAATTATTTCTGTTACTACTACTGCTGCTGTTTTTTTTTTTAATTTTCTTACATGTATTATACTTAATTATTTATAACCTGTGTTTGATGTGCCTCAAATTGTGTTTTTCCATTTTCAGATATGACACATTTTCAAAAGCTTTTTGAGGAAGGCACTAGTGAATTCGATTTCCAGTGGAATGCTGTTCCCGAAGCAATTGGTAATGTGCCATCAGTTAAGAAAAAATATTTGCTGTACTGTACTTTATACCTGAAAATTTATATTAATTTTATTTTCATTTGACAACTTAAATGTTCATAATAATCATGTTTAGAGTTTCTTGATGCACACTGAAAAAAACGTGTTATTAATATCTGATAGAATTACATACGTGAAAATTTAATTTTTAGAAAGTCAATTCGTATAGTAATTTCAGGATAATCAGGAATTTTATGATTTAACTGCCCCTCCCCCATCCCGAAAATTGGCGTAAATTGACAAATATGCACATATTCGGAGAAGTACTGTGGCTATTACGTGATATGAAATACCAGTCTATAAATAACATTAAATCTATTTTTTTAAATAGAGAGGATAAATAATGCAGATCATTTCAAAAAAAATAAGGCAAAGTCCTCCAACCTACTAAATACCTTACCTATTTCTGTGCAGACCACTTCATTATACATTTCGCGCAGGCCAAATTTTTATTATTAAGTTTTGGAATTATATTTTTAAAGCATAATTTCAATTTTATAAAATTTAAATGAATGAATTGATATAAAAGCTAAAACGCAGGGTATCTCATAGCATTCAGTCTCAAAGAATTTGACAATCTGTCATGCAATTCTAATATCATTCCAGATCGTGTTTTCCCTACATTCTAGGCCAGGCTTCGGCAACCTTTTTTCGATTTATAGTTACTCGTTTCGTAACTCTGGACCCTTCGAGTAAAATGGACGGCAACATTATAGTGTTGAAAGTAGTTCCAAAAACATCCACTGAGCGATAAGACTTTTGGTTTGAAAACCTCAGTCATATACCACATTACCTACAATTTGTAGCAGGAGAGAGCGTGAATGATGCTCACGTGGGAACTACTATGATGCTGTTCGGTGCAGAGATTGGATATTTAGGAAAAGACAGAAAACAATATTATATACGACAAGAGTATAGTAATAAGTACAATACGATTTTAAAGAAATTGGTAGAGTTCTGTGATTAAACTACTGTTGCTTAAAATTACTTTTGAATTGGCTTAATTAAAAACCATGTAAACCATGTATTTGCTAACGTTGTCACAATTATCGTAAAATCGCCTGGTCTAATAGATCAAGTAGGAAAGAGTTAATGCTCAACAATTTTGACGGTTAAGTAGACAGAGTCTACCCCGAGCATAATTCAATACCGAAACAAAATCTTTACAATAATGTTCAGCTGAAACAGGAGGTACTTATCGTCATTGCATATAAACCCGTTTTCTGAATAACTGAAGTAAGCAAAATAGAAACTATGGAGTCCTATTCTCGCACTGTAAGAAGGTAAAATATCGGTCAGAAGCTTCAAGAATTAGATCATTTATTTACGAATGGTAAAATCAGAGAAAAAAAAAATTATTTACGAATGGTAAAAAAATAAGGCAAAGTCCTCCAACCTACTAAATACTCCTGATGAAGCTTCCACTTGAGTATCGCATTTTTAAATCAGAATAATTTTTATAAAATGTTTCTTCTCACGTATATATCACTTAATTGTTCTCAAATCTTTGTGCAAAATCAATTAATATGATGATTTCTGCGTTAATGCCTTTTAGATGTGGTCTTTATTACTGATTTTTATGACTGTAAAAGTTGTATAGCAATTAAATATAGAAAGAAAAGTGTTTATAAGTCAACAGTGCAATAACTAGGATTTTTTTATACTTCCAATAAATTGTAGAGATTATTCCCGAATTGTAGGGGCTATTTTCTGAATTTGTATAACACGGAAAGCCAAAGGGATCCAGTTCACCCTGGAAATGAGAAAATGAGTATTACATTTTGCATCATTGTAATACAAACTTGTGAATAAATAATTTTCTCACATAAAATACTTTTATAAGCCTTTCTGAAATTTCATAGCCAATATAAATCATAATTTGCATCATTGAGATTTTTTTCGTTTAATCTGCAACTTAGTGCAAACAAATATCTGCTTTTTGTGTAATTTCAAAAAATATAATTATTTATATTTAATCCCTAGTATTGAGGTTCTAAAATTAATGTAATCTACATTATATCTATTTTTGCAGTCTGTGCCTTTCCGTATGTAATGGCGTTTACAGCTGACACCATAGAAATACGACTTGTCATCAATGGAAACCTTGTATCAAGCATGGTTATGCCCAGTCTGAAACTAATCACAGCAAAAGTAATTTGCATGCAATTTTTCTTTTCTCTTACACTTCAGTTTCAAAATGTTGTGTTATTATTTCTTACTACTTTCTTAATATACTTTATTCCTAATATAATTTACTAATACCTTTTCTAAAAATAACTAAAAAATTTTGCTTAATTTCTGCAATCTGTAGGAATTACAATAATCCATATGAAATAAAATTAAGAATAATGCAAATTACGATCAGAAATTGTAGAGACATGAGGATATTTTTGGAAGGAGGAGAGATGAAAAATGAACAATGCCTTAGCCGGGACTCGAAATACGGACCTCTCGGTACGCGCCGAGTGTGCTGACTACTACACCACGAAGGCATGCTAAGAAGGTGGGAGAAATACGTTATAATTTTCCCCTTTAAAGGGCGACTGGGAATTAGGGGACACAGTCCTTGGTGATGGAGTATCATCATCCACCACCTTTTTAGACATTAGGATTTTTGAAAGCAGGAGCGATGAAAAATGAACAATGCCCTCGCTGGGTCTCGAACCATGGATTTATCGAATGCGCACCGAGTATGCTGACCACGACACCACGAAGGCATGCTAAGAAGGCGGTAGAAATACCTTATAAAATATATATATTGTTACGTAGCGTATTCGGAAACTAAGTACCGTTTCATTCTAGCGCCGTCGCAGCGCTCTGACAGGCGTCCCGCGCATGCGCACTAGTCTTTCTTTTCACTGACTTTCAATTGTCGCCATTTTGGTTGCTCTATGTTGTATTTTCAGTTTGCTGTGCACATTCAAAATGTTTAAGACAATTAGTTCTCCCGCTGACTGTGAGATTCGTGCCGTGATTAAATTTTTGAACGCGAGGAATGTTAAACCGGCCGAAATTTATCGTCAAGTGACAGAAGTTTACGGTGAATACGCGATAAGTGATGGAATGGTGAAAAAGTGGGTAAGAATGTTTAATGCAGGTCGAACAAATGTCCACGCCAAGGCTCGGAGTGGTCGGCCTTATGTTGTCACCGATGATTTTTGGTAAGGAAAGTTGATGAAGCAATTCATGAGAACAGACGCTTCACAATGACAACTCTTTCAGATGCATTTCCACAAATTTCACGTACTGTTTTGTTAGAAATTGTGTCTGACCGCTTGAATTATCGCAAACTGTGTTCCCGATGTGTTCCAAAAATGCTTACTGATGTTCACAAAACAAACTTGGTAGTGCCCTGACATTTCTCACGCGGTATAGTGATGAGGGAGAAAGCTTTTTAAATCAAATTGTGACAGGTGATGAAACTTGGGTGTGTCATTTCACACCAGAATCGAAACAACAATCGATGGAGTGGAGACACACTCATTCTCCGAAAAAACAAAAGTTCAAAGTGACAATGTCATCACAAAAAATCATGTGCACTGTCTTCTGGGATAGGAAACTAAAAAAACGGTGAACAAACTTACTGAATTTCTTCCCAGAGGTGAAACCATTAATGCGGCACGATATAGTGAGACTTTAACAAAACTAAGGCGTGCCATTCAAAACAAACGAAGAGGAATGCTCAGTAAAGGAATTGTGTTGCTCCATGACAATGCTCGGCCCCATACTGCTGGTGTCACTCAATCGTTAATTCGACAGTTTCATTGGGAGCAGTTCGATCACCCTACAGCCCGGACTTGGCGCCGTCCGACTATCACTTGTTCCTGCATATGAAGCGCGAGCTTGGTGGCAAGCGCTTTCGATCTGACGATGACACGAAAAATGATGTGGAGTCGTGGTTATCGAAACTGGCGGTAAGTTTCTTTGACGATGATATACAAAAACTGGTCACCCGCTATGACAAGTGTTTGATCATTGGCGGAAACTATGTTGAAAAATAGTTTAAGACATGTATTTTCATCTAAAAATAAAATTGGATTCAAAAAATTGTTTTACTTTTTTTTTTTTTTTTTTTTTTTTTTTCAAAACGGTACTTAGTTTCCGAATACGCCTCGTATATACCTTTTATGCTGCCGTATATCAAATTTTCTATCTTAGATGCTATAACGTTTACAGCTAAAGCTATTTTTGAGTACTTCGTTTCGGGACTTCTTGCCTAATTTGAATTTTTCTTTGATTTATGTAATTTTGGTAACAATTTATTTAATAAACTTACTCTGCTTCCTATAATGATGAAGTAAATTTTATGAACATTAATGTAATTTCTTTTCCAAATACCGTAAAGTTTAGGAACATTTGTAAATATTTATATACGTTTACGCATGTAATGTAAGTTTATGGTATTATTAAATATCATGTTTATGTATTTTATTGTTTTGAGGCTATAGGTGGATATGTTTCATACCTATTCGTATGTGTTTACAGGCTGACATCATATTTGCTACAACCGCTCCAGAATTTTTCCAGGTGCGTAGGGAGCGGGTAAAGGTCGACAAGATGGACCGTGATCCTAGTCTTTCACCACCCTCATCCCCCCACTGTAAGGACATAACTACATTATAAAATTATTTTAAATATATAAATCTGTATTATACTATCTCTATAGTTGGGATTTCTGTTTAAATTTTAAAATATCCTTCAATAATAAATTATGCAGTTTTATCTCTGTAGCGTTTGAAAAAAGTAAAGCACTAGGTACTTCTTGGCACTATTATTAGGTATTACTTTCATTCTAAGCAAGTTGCACCTCTGCAGCAATGCTCTTCCTCCGTTCTGCTTCATACTTCCCTTAGTATTTTATTTTCATTACGATAGTTGCATACTTCTAATGTTATGGTGCAATGCTGGTTTTTCGATTATTCAGAATGCTGTCTATTCTGTCATATATAGTCATAGCACACCTCCTTCGGATTTGATTCGGTTTATTTGATTAACTCTTTCGCTTCGAGAGAGGGCAAAATCTCAATTCCCCAAACATCGAAAACGCCCGTATCTAAGAATTTCTCTTGGAATGCTTTTCCTTCCCCCATGACAAGTTGAATACTACAGCGCTAACAATAGCCTTACTTAAGTAAAGCGAGAACTTCTTTCTTCGACGCTTTGACACTGTGTGAAGTTCTCCCTTGGGACGGGATTGCAACTTCGGGCATCAAAAGCTAAACACTGACAGTAAACAAAGGAAAGGAAGGAACAAAGGAAACAAGGAAGCTACTTTTAGTAGCTTCAAAAGAATGATTGACATGTGATTTAACAACACCTGAAAGCAATGAGTAATGCAGTAACGTGATGGGGGAAAGCACTTGGTAGGAAATTATTCAGGCGTTTCGGGCGTCCAGCCGATGTCTGAATGTTTGGGGCGACTTCGATGCGAAAGAGTTAAGGGAAAGCACGCTAGAGCTATATGCCTATGGGAAGAGGTGCTATCGTGGAGGACTTTCTGAGGGCTAGTGGCTTGTATCTACGTTACACACAGAGAAAATCATTAAAAACCAATGTAACTAGCGTGTTCGCTTGCATTCGAACCCAGGTTGAACTAGCAATATTCAGTAACTTTACCTCTCACACACTAGTGGACGCTTTCTATGCTGCTTGTCCTGTGTCTCTGTTTATGTGATGTGAAAGAGAAGCATACCACTGGTACGTGTGTTTTAAGTTACCGACTCCGATTACTATTGAAGTTGAGCTGATTGCGATTTTCTGTATGATGATTTTTAAAAGTGCTTGCATTTCTCATCTGATCGCTCACTGCCATTAAAGTGTAAAAATGCTCACAATGGCACATCGTTTCTTGAAGTACTCGAATTCATGTAATTTTTCATACAGTGCAGCACAGACTCTACACAATAGTTCCGACGATTTTCTGTAAATCCGTTCAGATGACTATGTGGAAACATATATCCTGGCACTAAGGTCAACACGTTAGATTCAATTTCAGTAAATTACATTTCCGTAAATATTTGAATATTTGAACAAATGTTATCGGATATTCAATTTTTGTTCCAAAGGTATTGTTCATTTCATCACAGAGAAATTATTTTCCCGAATTCATTAAAATAGAGAGTGTCGAATGGACTCTCTGTATGAAACGTTTATAGTCAGTCGTAATTCAGTAGATTGTGAATGATTACAATATTATCCTTTGTAATTCAGTTTTTAGTATCTCTCTTATAATCAAATTTCAAGGGGAATATATTTATCGAAATAATTCTTACGTGCAAGTGAATCAAGCCTGGTACAACTGCTCTTCAGGGCATTTGTTTTAATAAGAAGAATTCAGCAGAGGTTCAGCTCAAAGCAAACTATTTTCTAGGAACTGAAAGGCCATTTATTACATTGTGAGAAAAAATCCGTCGACTGGGGACTAGCACTTTTATAAGACCAAAACCAATCGGACCTCGTGTCCGTATTATGTGGTATAACTTCCGGCTTTCGTGTGGGCTGGTACCGGTGACGTATCCTTTCAAGAGTCTGCCTTAGCAACTGTCGACGGTAAGTTACCATACCTTATCGTGGTCGTAAGGGTGACGGGTGAATCAGGGTTCGATTCCGTTGCGGGAGTCTGAGAAATGGCTTCGACATACCGTTAAGGCAACCTGTGCAGAAATTACCCTCTACCAGAACGGGGAGGTAGCGACGAAGAATAATTACATGGGTCTTTTTTGAGAACCCATAATTGGAGTGAATACACGCTAAATCCTTTAACGAGGATCAATTTGGAGGGCAAGTCTCGTGCCAGCAACCGCGCTAATTTCAGCTCCAATACCGTACGTATATTAAAGTTGTTGCGGTAAAAAAATTCGTAGTTAAATCTCAGTTCCAGACAGGTGGTTCGTTTATCAGTGGTTACTGTTTCTTATCTCCTCATTCAGAAAATTTCAATTTGACAATAGGTTACGTAGCACAAAATTGTTTATTATCTAATTCAGCTCCTTTTTATGTTAGCTTCTGGTGATCTAAAGCGAACAAAGACCATACAAAGCAAATCCAATATTCTTGAGAGTGGCAGTTAGCTACATTAAGATTAAAATAAAAATCCTCTTTCGACTGATATATAGAGGCCAACATATATAATTGCATATCAAATGCAGAGTGGAAGCATTGATATATTATAAAATTTCTTACAGCTTTAAAAACTTGCTTTCTTTTTCGAACTGACTTCAGGATTTTATTAATTAAGTTGTTATTTTCATAACTTGTTTGCATTTATATCTTTTTATTGATGCATGTCTATAATTCTGTTTTCTAATGCACAATTGTAGGAATGCCTCATGCTAAAATGTATTTATAAACTGAAAAAAATGTTTCAATTTTGATTTCACTATTACCAGTTTTTATGTTTTTGGCTATTATATTTTGCAGCAACTGGTAGCGGTCCTCCAGGTTCTGCTGATGGTGTAAAACCTTTTCGAATATTCCGCATTTCATACACTTCTCTGACTGGAAGCTCCCCTAGTGAGAGGCGTGTGCCAACACCTTCAACCCCCACGTCTACCACTATGCTCAATGCCACATCATCCGGCATAAATTATCTAAGCCCAGGCGCTCAGGTATAGTAAATTTCAATGCCTTTTGTTGAAAAATTATAATTGCTTTTAATTTAGATAGATTTATAACTCTTAAATGGATTTAAATTCCTTAGTTGTGGAATTCTTATTTCTTCAGAAGGGTTAATGAAATACAGCTGCTTTTATTTTCAATCATTTTAAATTTAATTTTGAAGGTTTTAAAAAAACTTCAAAAAATCACAGTCTTCGGTCTACAATCATTGATTTTAAAAACATTTTAAGGGTTCTTTATGAGATCGATCGATTTTCATTTCATGATGAAAAATTTTGCAATAGTGAGTGAAGTTTTGCTCGGTTTGCATGAAATAGAACAATTATTTTACACCATGATCAGAACTGTGCACTAAAATTGACCAACAATCAAGGGAAACTGCGTTTGTATTTTTATTTCAGTTTAACGGAAACATCCATTTTGACAGCTACCAAATCCATTGGGATAATATTTTTTTTCGTAACAGCTGTACTTAACGCACAGAATAAAGAAATCTTTTTTCCAAAGTGGATTGTAAAATGGATTCAAAACGGATTTTATGTGACATCTGTAGTACGTACGTAGGTAAATATCTCGCATAACTCAAAAAACGATTAACTGTAGAATGATGAAATTTTGAATACGGCATTGCTACATTATCTAGTTGTGCACCTCTTTTTTTATTGTAGTCGACAGTGCCAAACGTAAACGTTATATATATATATGTATACATGTGTAGTGTCTCTGTATTTGTGTATATAAGATAAAAAATATGTAAATATAAATTATAATTTAAATTAGCAGTAACATCAAATCATGTTAAATTCATTTTTTATGTAACTCTCAGCTAAGGTAAACTTCGTTTTTCTAGCTGTTTGTTTGTGTAGTATCTTCATTAATATGAGTTATTAACGTATCCTAAAGCCATATTTAGGTATTAATATTTCTCAAAATTTGATGAAATAGTATTACGCGCACTTTCATTGATTTCATTTCGGTACAAGCACGATTCATCTTAACTAAAAGTTACTTAATACTAATATTTTCTCCAAGTTTGATTTGCTCGAAATGTAATGTCACCAATTGTTTTTCATTTTGCAGTCATTTAGTGTAAAAAAAAAATTGTTTCCTATATTTTCCTAAGTAGTTCCTCCCAGAGCACATGGCTGCTGTTTGCTTGATCGATCAGTCAATGTACTAAACTGGTTTCATAAAAACGTTTTCATAATTTGTCTATAATTCACATTAGAGTACGCTATGTAACTTACTTATATCCAATTATGTACTATAAACACAATTGTTGTTGGTTTTTATTAATCTAGATTTTATCACAGAACCTAAATTCTGATATATAAAGACAATTTCGAATTTAATTTTGCAAAAATAGAAGAGAAATAAGCATGATAAATATATAAGTTCACAAATGTTCATTTTTAATACTTCTTCTGATTTATTAACGTATCCTAAAGCTATGCTAGTTACAAATATTTCAGATCTCGTTATATTTGCCTATAACTGATACGTTTGTCTGAACTTAGTATATATAATTTAAATGCCCTAGGAAAGTCACAAGAAACAAATATTATCCTAAATTTGATGAGGGAATTTACCAGTCAAATTCATAATAGACACAAGGGAACAGAAGGAAAAAAAAGGTGACCTAAAGGTGAAAGAAACAAGGGAAACAGAGGGGAATAACACCTTAACTTCGTCTTCTAAAATTACAAAATCATTATCTACATTTTAAGAACGGATAAAGAATATTTAGGTAAGAGTTTCAGCATAGTTACATCAAACTTTTTCAGTTATAAGGTCTCATCTCTTTTCGAAGTGTTCTCTATTACGCTACAAAGTTGCTAAAGACAAAAGTGTTTTACACAAAAGATCCTTTATTCACATCTTTAGTCTAATTCGTTTTTTCCGGTAATTACAAGCCTGTCCATTATCACGTCAACATCACCTGTCTTTCCTTTCAGGGAATCGAAAACAAAACAATTAATATTGTTTAACCTCCCTGAAGTCAGACAGCTACATTCATAGTACTGGAGGCTTTTAATGATCACTTAGCAGTACGGAGAAATGTCCCCTGTGAAATGACAGAGATTTTCTTCCTTGAAAGGGTCGTAAGGCAGCTGAATAAATGATTCCAGAGCTTTAGAATACCTTATTCCAAAAAAGGAAGGCTATTAAAAAGCCCGTATGAAATCGCCATTAACGGATTCCAAATATGTTTAATATAAAATAATGTACACTGCTCAAAAAAAAAAAAAATGGGACAGACCTATATCTCCCGATCTACTGGGCCGATTGACTAAATTCAAATTACGTTCTTCATGTCTCGAAAGCGCGACTTAGGATATATATTAGATTTATATATAGCACTATTCTAACATAGGTATTTTGACACAAAATCGGACTTTTTCTGAAATAACATACCAATTTTTTTACATATTTCGATTCTACGACTCAAATTACGCCTAAATATGAAATTTTGTAAAATTTGGAGCGAAATTTACGGAGAAATTCACAAATTTATGTTGGCACATTTTTGTCAGTTTGCGCCAAGAATACTTCACTTGGCGAACTTCTTAATATATGGCAACCTAGTTTCCTTTCCCGTGTGAGGAAAAAAAGTCACCATCGTTCCTTTTTTCCAAATAATATTCTTTATATTATATTTTTAATTATAACTTATTATTTTAAGTAATTTTTTCTTTTTCGAATTTCATTTTAATTGTTTAAGTTGCATGGTTTTTTTTCGAATAACTGTTTTAAAAATTTCTATTTACCTATTCGAACTGCGTAAATAAAGGTGCAGCGTTTATTTTTTTTTCAAATAGTTTTCTTTATATATATTTTTTGTCATAGTTATTATTTTAGGTAATTTTTAAATTCTTTATACTTTTATTTTAATTGTTTGTGTTGCATTGTCTCTTCAGATAATTGTTTTAAAATTTTCTATTTATTCCTTCGAACTGAGCATTTTAAATATATTTATTAATATAAATTTTCCAGAATTTGATTTTATTTATTTGAATTGCGTTTTCTTTCGGAGGAATACTTTGTAACCCAGACTACGATGCGTTTGAAAACTGCATTTATAAAAGAGAGAAAATACAGTAAAGCACAGTTAACACGCCTTTCAATGTTCCGTTCAGAAAAATATATATAAATAGGAGAGATGTATAACCGACATTTTAACTTAGGATGACTTGCATACACTGCTTTAAACAGTTTTATCAATTGTGCCCATTGCTTTACACACAATTTTATCCTACATTTGGTTTCTTAAATGTTATTCATATTTTAGTCAAATATTTTATTTTTGAAATCGCAAGAATCAAATATCATAAGATTAAAAGTTTTAAATTAAAAAAAAAAAATACAAATACTAAATTTTACCCAAAAATTTAATTTTTCTTCTCTTTTTCTTCAGGCATTATACTTTATTCTTGCTCTTTTTCTTTAGGCATTCCGCAAGTATATTAAAAGCATCCAACTTTTCGAAATATCTTGATATTTCTGACAATCATTTTAAATAAAGTTATCGGCCTTCCATTTCATAAAGGCCCACAAAAAGGCCGAGCGGTAAAGTCGCTAAACACTGGTAGTTCACTCCGGGGTTCGAATCCCGGTAAACGGGCTGGTTGCATGGGCGTTTTCGTGGATTTTCTCATGTGTATCGTGTATGCCAACTGGTTTCCCTTAGAAAGTTCTTCACAAAGGCATCCTTCTTTTTAGGCAGATAGCCCTGCTTTGACGTAAATTAATAATCCAATTCAATCCATTTCATCAATATTTGATCAGAGCCTTTATCAGTTTTTAGAGGCTAAACATTTTGAAGGTATGAGATGAAAGGAAAGACTGGTTTCATCAAGAGGTTTTGGTTTATTTAATTATGACAAAGCACACCAGGGCTATCTGCCTAAGGGAAGGGATGCCTTCGTGGAGAACTTTCTAAGGGAAACTGGCTCGCATATACGTTACACATGGGGAAAACCACGAAAACGCCCATGCCACCAGCCCGTTCGCGGGATTCGAACCTTGGACCGAACTAGCGTTCAGCGACTTTACCGCTCGGCCGCTGTTTCACCAGGAGGAAAAAAAAAAACCTCTTTAAGTGACATCCACATACATCACTGGATAAACTCCTGAATCTTCAAATAATTCGAATGAGAAAATCATGGGATTCTCCATTTATGATACGATATGATGTTCTATAACGTAATTTAAATTTATACATCAATATAGTCTAAAACCAGTCGCTCTTCACTTTAATCTGCAATGATATCGTTTTGTCTTTTCTGTTAACACAAGCTCAATTGATGGTATTTGCTGGTGTACACGTCCAAGTGTTTTTTCTCTTGAACACCTAAATTCTTTGAAGTATCCTGAAAGTATATTCAAAAGCGTCCAACTTTTTGAAACATCTTGGTATGTCTGACAGCCAAATTTCCCTGCAAATGTTTGCTTACTTTTCTCCCTAATTTTCTTCTTTCTTCTACAGTTATTTTCAGTGCTCACACAAGAAAATTAAAATTTTTCGATTGCTAGACTTCCATAAATTTTGCATTCTTGTCAATTTTTTAAAATATCAATTACATGAATTGCGTTTCAGCTGAAGACAGCTTTTCATTTTCTAGTCATTTTAACTATAAATAAAGTTTAAAGCGAAGTCCAAAGGATAAATATTTTAATTAAAAGATTTTTGCTAAATGACAAAGAAATAAAACAGTCCAGCAGGGTTTATTCTGTACCACCGAGTGACCCGATTCTTATATCGGCTGAAACAATCTAAATCATATTAAAGATCATGTTTTTTTATACAATCTATAACGCGAGAAAAAAATTAAGAGGATTAATATAAAAGATTATATTTATATATATATTTTTAAAGCTGGGACATGAACCAAACTGTCAAACTTTTAAATTTACATGGTGGTTATAATTAAAGTTCCAATTTGAAATGGTCATAAAAGGAAAACTACCGGACCAAATGTTATCAAACTTG